GGAAACCGTGCTGCCTGTCACACATAGAACATCACGTTCGGTGTTTCCAGAAAATCAGCTGTGTAATCTATTTGTGTAATCTGGTTTCTATTAGCTGCTTCATACAAAAAGTACCGTAGATTAAATTTTTGTTATAGTCAATCAAGTAGCAATGGGCTGTTTCAAGTGGAGCGCGCGACATCACGTTCCCTGATCCTAGATTACGCACAAAGTATGGTTGTAAGTTCATATAAACCACTTAATAACAGTTGTCTACAAGAATTTATTACGATCAACGTTTATCAACCAGCAATGCTCTATTTTCTCACACAGAGCTTGACCCTCGTTGCCTAAGCATTGCTATAGATGAATATAGTTTCTAGAAAATGCTTAATGACAAATATCTTCCAGAATTATCTTGGTTATGATTAGTCAGCTATGAAAGTAATGTTCCCCGTGACACGTGCAGTATTCTTGGGTTAGGCACAAAGGAATATTTTATTTCGACATAAAATATTTAGTGATAATCGTGTTTCAGATTTAATTTTGATGAAGGTCAATCAGCAAACTTGTGTCTGACACAGAACATTTCCTTCGTTGCTTCTAGATAACTATAATGACGTGTAATACAGTTTTTATAATTTGCTTAAACCATATTTTGGTTACAACCAATCAATTAGAAATATGATTTTTTCATGCACCAGCAAGATCAGGTTCCCTGCTCGTAGGTTATGTACAATATTATAATTTTATGTTGACACAGACCACTTAATGAAATTGGGTTCGGGATGTTATTATGACCAGCATTGGTTAACTAGAAATGCCCTGCTTTCAGTCATATGTAGAACATTATCTACGCTCCTACTAGATTGCTAAAACGGCGTGTAATATTGATGCTATAAACTGCCTAATGGCAAAAGTATTCTTGGTCATATTTGGGTTATGACTACTCAGATAATAACTAGATGCACCTTGCCACCGGAAACATCACCTTCTCTGCTCTATGATTAGCCACAACAATGATAATAGTATAAATAGTTAGTTGATATAAACCATTTAATGACAGTTGTGCTCCAAATTTTATTTGGATCATCGTTAATCAAGCAGGAATATGCTATTTCGTGTCATACAGTTAACGTAACTTATGCTCCCTTCAGCATTACAGTATGACATGTAATATGGTTTCTGTAAGTGGCTTAATAACAGATATATTCTTGAACGTATTTTAATCATAACTAAACAACTCGGATTGCGATGTTCACTTGGCACCTAAAGCATCACGATTATTTTTTCCAGATTATGCACAACTGTTCAACTGAATACTGACATAAGCTGTTGAATGATGACTGCGTTCTATTTTTTGTGCTAACGACGATAATTGTGTTTCATATTGTATGAGAATCAGTTGTAAACAAAAATAAATTGCTACTTCTTCGTCACGTAGAACATTTGCTTCGCTGGTTGTAGCTTACTAAAATAGGATATAATGTAGTTACTATGAACAGCTTAACAATAATCTGCTTTTATCTATATTCTTTTACAAGTGATTAAATTGCAACGTGATGTTCTTGTGGCACCATTAACTCAACGTTCCTATTCCTCACCTTCTCACAGTACCATTATTTGAGGTACATATAAATGATTTACAAACAATTCTGTTGCAAACTCGATGAGGATCAGTCGTAAACAAGAATAATTGTCTACCCTTGGTCACAAAAATTTGATTCCTTGCTTCTGGCTTCGCAAAATAGAGTATAACGTTGTTTGTATAAAGGGCCAAATAGCAAACGTACCCGTAAATATATTCTGCTATAAATATGAGCTTCGAAAGTGATGTTGATGTGGCACAATCAACATCACTTTCCTATATCTCAGTCTCTCACAGTACCATTTTTTGAAGTTCATATAAACCGCTTACTGACAGCTGAGTTCTACATTTAATGACGCAAAAGTAGATTGTTTATTTTCCGTCACCTGTTCCATTTGATTCCATGGTTCTAGCTTGCTAAATTAGCATACAATCTATTCACCATAAACAGCTTGACAATAAGTGTACTTTGAGCCATATTATGTTATAAATGGTTAACTCGCACCATGAAGTTGATGTGGCCCTATTAACATCACGTTCCTATTCCTCAGATTCTCACATTACGATTATTTGAAGTCCATTTG